AGTGGCTTTGCCTGGGGGCCGCTCAGGTTCGTGGGAATCTTGGGCAAGGGGGAAAGGGGGCGCGGCAGGTGGATGACGAGCTGTGAGTGTGGCTACTGTGCAGTGGATGGTGGCTGGCGCTGGTGGGCGCCGTCGTGTTTGCCGCGGTGCCGCTGGGCGAGTGCCTGCTTTGGCGCCAGGAGGAGGCGCTGCTGCAGGACGCTAGCTATCTACTGCCTCTTCTGCCCCACAACTACAGCACCTCCTCCCACTAACATCACACTGCGTTATGTTCAGCCAAACACCAGCAAAAAGGCTACTACACCCGCCTACTGATTGGTTGCGGAGTTAAACTTCCCCTTCTGCGATTCTTTTTTTATCATTAATTAATTTAAAGTCCCACAATCTGTGCGAGGCAGACGGTCCAAAGCTTGAAGTGGGCTTGCGTCCTGTTTGGTGATGTGGGTGTGGGCAGTCAGCTTGCAAAGATGAGTTCTACGCTACTTCGAATCCAACGTGCAGCAGTAGCAAGAGGCCCGAAGCTTCTATCGTCCGAACAGGTTGACGAATCACGATAATCATCGCAATTCCCAGGCTGGTTCGCCGTGTGCCGGCATAGGCACAGGGCGGACCGCCACTCCAACGCAGAGAGTAAACTCTGCTTCATCAACAAATCGCCGGACCGAAAGGTCAGGATCCCCCTGGACCCCAATACCCCCAACCACCGCGTGATTCGCCATCAAGCGGCCCACACCCACCTTTTTATCATCATCTAGGTCTTTTTTTTTTTTTTTGTAGTTGTTCTTGGTTTTAAAAGAGAATTAGAAATAGAAATACAATCAACTCGGGCGAACTCGGGCGGGCAGTCGTTGGGGATCTGCGGTCGCTTGCCCTCGAGCACGTCCAGCGACACGCCCATGAAGTTGCGCCCAGCGAAGGGCTCCTTGCGCGTCACCACCTCCCACATAATGATGCGAAGGAGAACACGTCGTCCGCGGATGATCTCCGGCGCCGTCCAGCAGGGCGTGCCGCACCGGGTCATGGTGGCGTTCCCTCCTTGATGCGCGCGAACCCGAAATCGGCCACCTTCACGTTCCAGTTCTCGTCCACCAGCAGGTTCGACGGCTTCAGGTCGCGGTGCACGATGGCCGGGTGGAGCGAGTGCAGGTAGTTAATGCCCAGCGCCGCCGACCGCAGCAGGTTCAGCTTCTGTTGCCAGGGGAGCTTGATCGAGTGATCGGCCAGGACAGCGAATCCTTCATGCCCTCGCCCACGACCGTCTGCACTTCGCCGCTTCCACCGCTCGACGCCGAGCCGCCCCGCAACACGGTGTCGCTGCCCTGGTCTTCCTGGTCGCCGCCTTCGCTAGACGACTTGTGGTTGGTGGCGGCGCGAGCGTCGTCCGAGCCCACAGTGACGCCACCGAAGAATCGCGCTTCGATTCCCGCCACCTTAAGCTCGTTCAGCGTACAAAGGGAAGGCTGAGTGTTGTAGGCTGGTACGTACGTCGAAGAGGGAGCCGAGGCTCATGAACTCCATGACGATGCACATATTGGGCGCTTTGGTGCACGCCGCCATGAACAGCACCACGTTGGGATGCCTCAACGAGGTCATCACCCGCACCTGCCATCGCAATGGGTTAGATCGTCAAGACTTAATGGACCATTCCTGATGATGGATGACGACGATGATGATGGCCTTACCTCTTCCTGGAAGGATCGCTCCATGTCCTTGGTGACGCGGTCGGAGGCCATGACCTTGACGGCCACCTCGGTGCCCTCCCAAGTGGCCCGGCTGACGTCGCCGAAGCCGCCCGTGCCCAGGTGCTCGCCGACTTCGAGCTCGTCGTACCGGATCTCCCAGTCGTCCTGAACCTGGCCCTTGCGCCTGATCATCACCACCAGGACCACGATCAAGGCCACCAGCCCGATGATGATCAGCACTGCGATCGGCACACCAACACCTTTTGTCACGCGTGCGACAGAAATCGCATGAGCCACCACATATCAAAAAACAAAGGCAAAGGCACGGTGTGATGTGGCGTAATGTGGTGCGCGGGTCGTACCGACGACGACGGCAATGGTGGTGTCGGAGACGCTCGAGGAGTCAACGAAATGCTCGCAGTAGGTGCCGGTCCGGCCCGACTGGCAGTCGCACCGGCTGTTGATGCAGGAGCCGGCGCTGGAGCAGAGGCGCCC